AATATTACAGATTGTAAATATATTTTTATAAATAAAAAATAAAAAAAAAATAAAAAAAATATTTGTATTAAATATGAGTCTGATAAATTTATAAATAATAATATGTAAATAAGTTAATTTTTCTGTTTGAGTTTTAGAGGTCATACAATTGATCGAAGTCTCCTGTTTATACAACCATGATAGTAAAGTTCATTCGCATCATTATAATTGTCTGTAGTCGAGAGTGATAAAAATAATTTTTTTTTTTCAATCGACAATTTTAAGAACTTCCAATGATAATCAAAGATAACCGAACTAAAACTTATTCAATATTTTTAATAACTGTACATGTTAATTTGTAAGCTCTAGACATGTTGTTTTTACTATATGTGTACACTAACAGAATAACAATGTAAAATAAAGATTTCATGAAAATCAATTGATTTTTTAATCAAATTTAGGTCACTTTTGTATACATTTATTATTATCCAAAAATGTTTAGAATACCCTCTCTTGATTTATATTTGTTTGCACTAGACATTATTCACTATACCAATTGCCGTAATCTATCTAACTTGTATTAATATTTCATTTTACACTCTTCTTTGAACATCATTATCATGTTGTACATCACATTTTTTTATCTAATCTCTTATCTACTCTGCTTCCCTTAATCCGACCGATACATTTTTAACAAACACACACACACACACCTATCTATACATTAACATAACATCCAATCATTTTATATCTGTTCTGTATCTAACACTCACGAGTGATCATTTTTTGAGCACACTGATGAATCTAACATAGTTTGTCCTTTATGCATTAGTACACCATTCACCCGATCGCCATGAAACTTTGGGATGTTGTTGAGTCCACTGCCGCAAACATAACTGGCATAGTACTTTTCGAAAATTCCACCCTTAAGGATGACCTCAAACATGAACTTTGTACTTTAAATAAGAAATATTTTCCGTTGCTAACCTAAAATAAACACTTGGTTTGTATCCATGGTAACCACGGTACTCAAGCGAATGGTAGGTGATGATTAAAGAAACAGGATGATTCTATGTACCACGATTCTGGGCAAGCTTTTAGCTGTTGGAACGGGATCTGGGACCTTTGAGTAAGGGGAGGACATAATAACCAAAAAAAGTGTCACAAAAACGCTGTGATCTGATAAGGGATTTAAGATGGGGGGAGGGAAAATAGGGAATAGGAATTACTCACCCCTGGCAAACTAAACCTCGGGCAACGCCGGATCCGGATAGCTTGTTTATATTATATAATATGTAAATGAGTTAATTTTTATGTTTGAGTTTTAGAGAAAATAAAATTGATTGAACTCTCCTGTTTATGTAACCATTATATGTTTTTTATGTACTTATATCATATTTTTTGTTAATCTCATCAATTTTAACTAAACTGAAGTTAGGGCAACATTGCAAGTTTTGCTTAAACAATAATTTTGCAATTCGTTTGACATCTCCGAAACTATAGGGTAAAGCGAAACTGTCCTATATTACACAGTAATACATCTACTTTGTATCACAGTATATGCAACCCTGTACATATTTTCACATAATTTTGCATTTTGTTTGATACAGCCGAATCTATAGGATGTCTCAAATATGACATATATCATAATGCATTTTACTATAGTAATATTATTATATGTAACATATAATTAAATACATTGTAAATATTTTTTCTATTAAATGTTGACACACTTTTGCAATAAAAAAATATCTTATTTCAACTTTGATAATTCAGTATATAATAGCTAATTGTTTAGCAGAATACAGAGTAAAAAATGCATTTTATTAAAAATTTGATAAATGTCTAATTGTTTATCACAATACACGCGGTGTAATGCATGCATTTTCTTTATAATACATTATTTCATACAGATAAATATTTTTTTTATATATAATTTAAATGAAATATGAGTATTTTTTCGCATCTCTGTGGAAGATTACATACAAATATTAATTAGGTTATTGGATATCATATCAACGTTCAATCATAAGATAATAATAATTCAGTCTGTTGTTAACGCTGAAGATGACAACATCGTTGTCGTAACACGTGTACGCAAGAAGTGTATAATTTTTATGGTTTAGGGTTCAAGTAGATTTTATATCTTTACTATAATAATAAACATTGTCGCGTCCACTGCAATCAATTGAAAGGTACAGTGTAATACAGAGATTATAGTATTTGTAAATACACATAATTACACCGTCCGTTGTATATATACAAATTGTTTACACTCTACGCATTCCGATTCATTCATAACAAGATCAAACGATTCACCGACATAAACACAACAGTTGCAGTGGCATACCATTACTATTGAATTGATAGGAATACGGTAAGTTTACATGCTACAGAACCCACGCACGTTCAGTCGACATTTATATACAATCTTTATGAATAAATATATATATAGAGATTTTTTTTATAATATATTATGACAGTGCATACAAACACTGTACTGTTTTATACACACACACACACACATATATATATATATATATATAAATACTTTATTCTCCACAGTGGACCTACCCCAAAGTGTTTGACTGTTTTGGAAATTATCGATCTGGAATAGGGGGTGTGAGGTGTCCACGGTTCTCCCCCGATGTGTACTTATTACAATTTACCAAACTAAAATATACTCTAACGAGTTGATTGGTTGCTGTTATTATTATCACATTATTAAGTACAATATTTGACCATAACGGGTATTATCAAAAGCCGTCTAAGACCCCTCAAAAATATTGTAAAAAAAAAAACATTACCTACCGATAATAATTAAAACAAAACATCAAATTAATTATAAGCATTCATATTTCACAAAAATATTATTTTATCATGTCTATTACTAAATTATTATTAACATTTGTCGTACCTGGCGGCAAGTCATTTACTACATCCCGCACCCTATAAATTGTTAGTCCATTGTATTTGGATAAGTTGTCGACCAAGAAGCGTTCTATGTGAGATCTGTCCACTTTTTTATCGTATTTTTTACGAGAAAGTATACCAAGGGGTTTTAAATATTTAGCCAAATATCTTTGGGCACCAGCATAAATTTCGTCCAATACCTAAAACCATTATATTTTGTTTTAGAATGGAACATGCTTATCCTTGGCCTCTCAGCTCGAATACGATACAAAATAGCGCCACGATAGTAACGCAAAAGTGGCGCGATCTAGCGGTTGCTTTTTTATAAAATATGTATATATGTATATATTTATAAGTGTATAAAATGTCTTGAGGCAAGTCTTTTAGGTTTTTAATCTGGACAATTATTATATGATAATAATTATATTCAGTGCATCAAAAACCAAAATTATTTTATTGTTGTATAAAAAAGTATTCATAACTTATTCACAGCCATATTTTATATAATAGATAATTTTATATAGATTGAAAGGTACAAATCCATATAATGGCATTTTTATAAAATGGGTAACCAAATATTTATCCAAAAAAATTAAAATTGTTTCACAATAAGCACAATTAAATTTATTCAAAATAATTAATTCAGTTGAATGTTGCCAACCAACCGATTAATGCGAAATAATAAAAAACTACTAAAAACCATTGGACGACAGCATAAAATTAAGACTATACTATCATCATATATCGCAAGGAGATTATTGATCGGAAATAATCAATATTCAAGAGCCAGCAGACTTAAGCATGTTTTATTAGTTTAGCTGTAATGCTTTAAGTAGACCGTAACTTTTTTGAATACATAATGTAAAGACTATTCTTACGAAAATAATGTGTCTCAAATTATTGCTACTTCCCTGTATATTATTCACTAGAGTATTTCATTTTTGTAATTCGTTAATGTACTAGATAATTAGATTACATTTTTTAATAAATATTTTTTTCAAGTTATTGCTAATGAGGTAAATACAGACATTATTAATTTTTTTATTACACAATGTGAATGCTACTATTATGTAGAAATCATTTAGTCTCGAATTAGATTTACTAAATTAGCGGTTTTTCTTTTTTAATGAGTTATATAGTTCAATAGAATAAATTTAAAATTACCTCATCTCTTTTTATTTCGTCTTTAAATCGCGATTTTGCCAAACACATAACTATAAAACATTAAGAAATGATTTATATTAAAATTTAACAAACTAAATTATGCTGTAACGAATAACCTGATTGTAATTATTATTATTGCGTTTTTGTGATCAATATTTAGTCATAACGAGTACTATTAAAAGCCACCTAAAAACAACAATGATGTTTTTCCGCTTGTTTAGTTTTTAAAATAATTTTAAATCGTGCTTCGAAAAAATTCATGGGAATTTTGAAAATTAACATTTCAATATGAATTACAAAGAGTCTAAAGAAAACGAGATAAAAGCGGTTTATATTTGTAATAATTGTTCTTCCTAACGATCTTTGTATAATATTATTAGTTATTCACATAATGTATATTTTACTAAATTATTATTAATCAACGAACCCGACGGCAAACTTTTAGTTAAATATTCGATTTCCTGTTCAGATAGTATATGCTTCGATCCTATGGTTTTCTTACATAAGTAGCCTTCTACTGAAAGCTTGTCAACACATCCTTTATATCTGTATATTATTTTTTCAAAAATTCTTTCAAGATGCTAAAATAATTTTAATTTTATTTTTAATATAAATTATGAATACTAGAATTTAAGAATTGTTGTATCTCGAAATATCTCTAGTATATTATTTACTAGGTTTAAAAATTATTTTATTATTACCTATAATTTGTTTTAATGTATCACATATTTAGATATTAAAATAATTCATAATTCAATACTTGAGTCGTACTCTCACCACAAGATAATAGCTTATATGAGGGTTACACGTATTATAAGTTCCTACTTTTAGTGTATAATTTAAAATTTTTTTTATATTATACTGTAAGTTATGTTATCTATGTACACCGCGGAATTAATTGCAAATATATATATTATAAGATAAAAAATTTAAACGAAAATTACCTCATCAGTTAAATTTTCTATTTTTGCATTCATTATATTTTTTAATTCCTTTTTTGACATATGAATACCATCTAGAAATGATTATAAAGTGTTGATATTAAAAGTCACAAAACTAAATTATGCTGTAATGAATTAATAAGTTGCATATATTATTAATGCATTTTTGTGTACAATATTTGGGCAAAACGGGTATTATTATATGCCAGTTAAAAACAATTATTTTGTTGGTCCACTTGTTCAGTTTTTAAATAGTCTAAAATCGTGTTAAATTAAAATTTCATGGTGAATGTCATAAAATTCATACTTCAATGTTTATTACAGTTCGAGTAACCGTAATGAAAACAATTTTTTGAAACATAATTTTTTAGAAAATTAAGATATAAGCGTTACATGAATTTGTTTAACTTGTTCTTGCTAACTATCATTACAGGCGACTTCTGCATAATATTATAAGCACTCTTCAAAAGTGTTGGAAAAAAACGCTCTATTATCGACAATAATTTTTGTAAAAAGGCAAATTGATTACTTGTCACAATTTACATATACATTTTGCAATATCTAATAATTGTTATTATTTAACGTACCTGGAATTTTTTCAATTTTAAAACCGATAACCCGTTCAGGGTCTTCAATAAGTTTTTCAAATATGTAAAATTGTATTGAATTGTTGGCAGCATCTTCTCGTAACGTAGAATAAATTTCGTCCAATATCTAAAATCATTACATTATTATTTTGAAAAGACAATGTAAATACTATTATTACAGACATAACGTGTCTCAAATTATTACCACTTCTCAGTATATAACAGTATATATATATATATATCAGTATTCACTAGGTTTATACAGTATTTGATTATTATTTTTTTATTTTTATGTATCATGTATTTAGATAAAATTGTGTTAACAAATATGAAATCATCGAATTAAAAATAAAAATTATCCAAAAACAACTGATATAAAGTTGTAGCATGTTCTTATGACCCAAATCATTTAAAACCAATTAGGTTTTTTCCCCATATTAATTTACGGTTTCAAATATAAGTGTTAAGACTCACAACACAAGTTGTGTGTATTTCCAATAAGTGTAAGCCGAAAAATTTGATCCCTTACCTCTGATGTTAGAATAATTTCTCCATTACCAAATTTTTACCAGATAATCTACTAACTTATGATAGCCTACTGATTATGAAACTATTCACCCCGCATATTGTAGTAACTATCGCCCAATAGCGATTTATCGAAAATTATTTAAAAAGAGAATAATGCAATTTGAAATAATATTTGATTAAAAAAAAAAATTTGGCTTTATAACAGACAGTTCAACCGATGACGCATTATTTTCATTTTTCAACCAATAATTTTATCCATTTAAACCTTGGCGATGTAACATAAAAACAAAGTTCTAGGAATATTCTTTGATGTCAAAAAAGCATTTTATTTTATAAATTATTTTTAATTATTTTTAAAGTTAATAACCTCTACAAATGGTATCGCTCTAGAATTTGTAAATAAACCTAATTGTCTATAATAATAGATAGTAGTAAATTTAAATGGAAACATCATATAAATGCATTAACCAACCCAATATACAAATTCTTTTATATATATTACAATTACTCGTCCAATCAGTTTTGAATTACGGAATAATTGTATAAGGTCAGGTAAGACACTTATACCAAATTATTAAAATAACTGTAAATAGCATAAGTTAAATGTTAAACTCTCTACCATAAGATATTAGAAAAGCAATTTTTACCTTTAACAATTTTGTTTTATTTTTTTTATATTTTAAAGTAAGTTATGTTATCTACGCACACCATGGAATTAATTGCAAATAAATATATTATTATATAAAAAAAAATGTAAAGTTACCTCATCAGTTAAATTTGATATATTTAATAATTCTTTAATATTATTCATTTTTTCATTAAATTCCTCTATTGGCAAACGAATATCTATAAATCATTATAAAAATATTTATGTTAAAATTTAACAAACTATATTAACATGTAACGAATTAACAGGTTGCCTTTATTATTATTGCGCTTTTATGTACAATACTTGGCCACAACGGGTATTACTAAAAGTCATCTAAAAACAATAATGACGTTTTTCGCTTGTTTAGTTCTCAAATAATTTAAAATCGTGTTTCTACCCAACACTTTAAGTACTCCTCGGTAATGTTGTAAAAAAACACACTACTTATCGACAATAATAGTTTATATTGAACATCAATGTGATTATTAGTTGTTTACAAATCGCCGCCTAAGAACCATTTTGGCTTACCTCAGTTTTTTCAACTTTTCAGGAGGAACAAAATAAATATCACTGATATCATTAGGTTTTATAGAGGCCCTGATGTTATTTGATTGCATACAGCCGCCTCTTGGTGTCAAACATTGAAACTTATAACACAATCTCATGCGTCTTGATAATACAAAAACATTTGCTTATAAAATTAAATTTTTAATTTTTGAGAGAGGCCATGAGAGAGGTCTTTAGGTGTCGATATATGTATTTATTTTACTTAACTATTATTATTCATCGTACCCGGAAAGTCGTTAAATATCAAATCGATTGATTGATTGGCCTCAAGTAGGTTGTGATTCGATTCTTCATATTTTTCAATTAAACCAAAAACTAATGGATCTGAGGCTTTAGTATCTTCTAGTATTTTTTGATTCATTTCCAGTGGCTTTTTAAATGAGCCAAAATTTACTGCATCTGAGGATGTAGTATCTTCTAGTATTTTTTGATTCATTTCCAGTGGCTTTTTAATTGAGCCAAAATTTACTGCATCTGAGGATGTAGTATCTTGTAGTATTTTTTGTTTCATTTCCACGCGGTTTTGAATTAAGCAAAATCTTGCACGAAGTGAGGCTGTGGCTATAGCATATTCTTTTACCGCATCATATATATCGTCCAATTGCTAAAATCATTACATTTTTTTTGGAATATACAATGTAAATACTATTATGAGAGAAATATCGTGTCTCAAATTAATATCACAAGTGAATATTATTATTCACTAGGTTTATAGAGTATTTAGATACTATACATTTTTTTTAATGTATTATGTATTTAGACAACATTTTTTAACAAATATTTTAGCTTCGATGCAAAGCGAGAAGGTATTGGTTTTACTCTGATGTGGGCTTTTTAGCTTCGATGCAAAGCGAGAAGGTATTGGTTTTACTCTGATGTGGGCTTTTTTTTTCGCTGTATACACTGTAACTTTTTTAATACTAGACCAATTCCTTTGAATAGCAACTCTATAAATCACAAATTTTGTCTAGTTTGTACTTTGGGGGGGGGTAAAAGTTGAAAAAGTTTAATTCTTCACAGACGAAAGTTGAAAAAACAAAAAAAAAAACCGTACGAGTTTTTAAGTTAGAACTTTTACTGGCTATAGTATCGAGAAAAAGAGTCGGATCCAGTTGAAATGTATAAGAAATATTTATTTGGTATGCCCGCGCACGTCAGTTTTGTCAAATTTAAAATATACCCATTTCCCGCCCCCCTAGGGGGGGTACAAGTTTTTTTGTTTTTCGGGGTTTTTAGCCGTAATTTTAAAACTTTTGTGTTGAAAATTTGTCAGTAGTTGGAACTCATATGTATCCATAACATATTAAGCGGGTGAAGAATTCGGCACTACAGTTTTTTTTTAATTGCCGGAAAACCGTGTTTTCGCACATTGCGTATATTTTAACAAAAACACCTAAAATCTTTAAAAAAAATTGATCAAATCATTAAAACAATTTTATTTATATCTATGCAGAATGATACTATTAGGTTTTGTGCTCAAGTACCACTTTTGACTTAAAGTTTACACACATTTATTTATTTTTTTTTTTTTTTAACTAAAAACCCAGTGTACCAGATGTGAGAAACGAACAGACACTAAAAACTATCAGTTGGTAACGTCTATCCGTGTTAGATTAGTTTAGGGCCTAATGATCGGTATCATAATATTGTGTTTATTACATCTCAGGCGACCAAACCGTGTAACTGATTGTAGTAGACACTCGATTTATTGGAAAAAACCTATCCATGTACTTATTAAGACACTTAATGATTCTGATACGACAAAACCACTGTCGTTATCTCGTTATTTTATAGCCTGCGTTATATAACCTTACCGAAGGTTAACTATGAGTATTTAATGTCCAACTACCTGCAAATAATGAAGAGGACTGTTGTTTTTTGGATTCAGATTAAGTGTTGGTTTTTATGCAGTATACCGACTCAAAATGTTTTTTTTATTACACAATTTTTTTAAAGGAAAACTAATGTTTTGTATATTGTTATACTGTTATTCATTTAAAGAGATTCACGCTTGATTGTTTAAATTGTCTAATATTAGATAATCTGCTTTGTGCTAATTTTATTTTTTTAGTTTATCAACTTGTAGCTCTAATTTTGTAAAAAATATTTCATTATTTTATTACTATGTACTATTGCTATTAAGATAAATTTTAATAATAATTAAGTCATAAATGATAATACTTTATTTTATGACTAGATCAAATCTCGTGAACATTTAACATCATGATACTGCTCCTATGCTATTATTAAAAAAACTCAATTTTTAAAATCTCCATTAAAGGTTATTGTTAAATAACAGGCAACAGCCGACTGCTAGTGGCTATACACGTTAGTATTATTTAACTAATAAGTAATAAATGTAGGTAAAATTTATTGTTTTCTCCATCACAGTACCAGTATACGATTTATTTTAATTTAAATGTAAGAAAATCAATTTTTCTTTAGAAAATAACAAGAAATTAATATACAGGATGAGGCAGTAAAACGGCGATTTTCTAATGTATTTAAATGGTAAAACCCGTTTCACTAATCCACCCACCCTTTACATTTTAAGGATCTATGAAAAGGTTTTTTTAGTTGCATTTGATTTTGTACATTGTCAATCTAGTAAAATAGAAGTATAATATAGCTTTTACATAATATAATCTGTGAAGTATAAATAGTTTGTGTGAGATTGCTATAATGGAAGTATATAATACATAAATGTTAATTTTATTGAGAATAAGCGATTATAATTTAAACTATGGAGTACAAACGATTGAAACATGAATCGTCGACCATTCCAACAAAATATAACAAGACATTGTATTTGTGTTATTTGGTCCACTAAGTTTTTGCAAAAAAAAAAAAAACCAGTACAGTGGGGTCGGTGCATAGTGGGGACGGAGCATAGTTGGGTCGGGGCATAGTGGTGACGGGGAGGTCACAGGTTTACAGGAATTTTTAAATCTGAAAGTGATAAAATCACTTTCGAAAAAACGCTTCGATGCAAATCGGTAGTTAGTATTTTCAAGCCAGTACAGTCCAAACCAAGCACAGTATAAACCAGCAAAGTTAGAAAGTTTTAAATGAAGGTTCTGTATTTACAAATGAGCATCAAAGCGTTTATTTGAAAGCGATTTTATTCAATTTTATCACTTTTATTTATAATAATTCTTGTAGACCTGTGACCTCTCCGTTTCCTCATTGCGTTGATTACATTATGCCAATACTCTACTGTACTAGTCCTCTCGGATAAAATCACTTTCAAATTAACGCTTTGATGCTCATTTGTAAATACAGAACCTTCATTTAAAACTTTCTAACTTTGCTGGTTTATACTGTGCTTGGTTTGGACTGTACTGGCTTGAAAATACTAACTACCGATTTGCATCGAAGCGTTTTTTCGAAAGTGATTTTATCACTTTCAGATTTAAAAATTCCTGTAAACCTGTGACCTCCCCGTCACCACTATGCCCCGACCCAACTATGCTCCGTCCCCACTATGCACCGACCCCACTGTACTGGTTTTTTTTTAGCTGTATACACTGTAACTTTTTTAATAATAGACCAATTCCTTCGAATAGCAACTCTATAAATCACAAATTTTATCTAGTTTGTACCTTGGGGGGGGGGGGAAAGTTGAAAAAAATTAATTCTTCACAGACGAAATTTGAAAAAACAAAAAAAAAAACCGTACGAGTTTTTAAGTTAGAACTTTTACTGGCTATAATTTCGAGAAAAAGAGTTGGATCGAGTTGAAATGTAAAAGGAATAATTATTTGGTATGCCCGCACTCGCCAGTTGTGTCAAATTTAAACTATACCCATTTCCCACCTCCTAGGGGGTGGGGGGGGGGTACAAGTTTTTTTGTTTTTAGCCGTAATTTTAAAACTTTTGGGTTGAAAATTTGCCAGTAGTCGGAACTCATATGTATCCATAACATATTAAACGGGAAAACAATTCGGCACAACAGTTTTTTTTTAATTGCCGGGAAACTGTGTTTTCGCAGATTTCGTATATTTTAACAAAAACACCTAAAATCTTTAAAAAAAATTGATCAAATCATTAAAACAATTTTATGTATATCTATGCTGAATGATACTATTGAGTTTTGTGCTCAAGTACCACTTTTGGCTTTAAGTTTACACAAATTCAATTTTTTTTTTTTTTTTACTTAAGTTCTTTCTGGATGATTAAAATTGAGAACTGATATTAAATTCGTAATCACCGACCCCAAAAACATATAATTTGACCACTTTTGATGTCTTTTACAAAAAAATCCAGAAAAATGTTTTAGCTTCGGTGCAAAGCGAGAAGATATTGGTTTTACTCTGATGTGGGCTTTTTTTTTATCTGTATACACTGTAACTTTTTTAATACTGGGCCAACCACTTAATGATTCTGATACAACAAAACCACTGTCGTTATCTCGTTATTTTATCGCCTGCGTTATGTTACCTTACCGAAGGTCAACTATGAGTATATAAGGTCCAACTACCTGCAAATTATGAAGAGGACTGTTGTTTTTTGGATTCAGATTAAGTGTTGGTTGTTATGCAGTTTACCGCTCCAAAATGTATTTTTTATTACACAATTTTTTTAAAGGAAAACTAATGTTTTGCATATTGTTATAATGTTATTCATTTAAAGAGATTCACGCTTGATTGTTTAAATTGTCTAATACTAGATAATCTGCTTCGTGCTAATTAAAATTTTTTAGTTTATCAACTTGTAGCTCTAATTTTGTATAAAATATTTCATTATTTTAGTACTATGTACAAATTAAGATAAATTTTAATAATAATTAAGTCATAAATGATAGTACGTTATTTCATGACTAGATCAAATCTCGTGAACATTTAACATCATGATACTGCTCCTATACTATTATTAAAATCTCCATAAAAGTTTATTGTTAAATAACAGGCAACAGCCGACCGCTAGTGGCTATACAGGTTAGTAATATTTAACTAATAAGTAATAAATTTAGGTAAAATGTATTGTTTTCTTCATCACACTACCAGTATACGATTTATTTTAATTTAAATGTAAGAAAATCAATTTTTCTTTAGAAAATAACAAGAAATTAATATACAGGATGGGGCAGTAAAATGGCGATTTTCTAATGTATTTAAATGGGACCCGTTTAGGCAACCTACCCGATTCACTATCCCACTCTTTCCATTTTAAGGATCAATGAAAAGGTTTTTTTAGTTGCATTTTATTTTGTACATTGTCAATCTAATAAAATAGAAGTATAATATAGCTTCGAAATAATATAATCTATGAAGTATAAATAGTTTGTGTGAGATTGCTCTAATGGAAGTATATAATACATAAATATTAATTTTATTGAGAATAAGCGATTATAATTTAAACTATAAAGTACAAACGATTAAAACATGAATCGTCGACCATTCCAACAAAATATAACAAGACATTGTATATGTGTTATTTGGTCCACCACGTTTTTGCAAAAAATAAAAAAAAACCAGTACAGTGGGAACGGGGCATAGTGGGGACGGAGCATAGTTGTGTCGAGGCATAGTGGGGACGGGGAGGTCACAGGTTTATAGGAATTTTTAAATCTGAAAGTGATAAAATCACTTTCGGAAAAACGCTTCGATGCAAATCGGTACTTTCAAGCCAGTACAGTCCAAACCAAGCACAGTATAAGCCAGCAAAGTTAGAAAGTTTTAAATTAAGGTTCTGTATTTACAAATGAGCATCAAAACGTTAAATTGAAAGTGATTTTATCCGAGAGGACTAGTACAGTAGATTATAGGCATAATGTAATCAAAGCAATGAGGAAACGGAGAGGTCACAGGTCTACAAGAATTATTATAAATAAAAGTGATAAAATTGAATAAAATCGCTTTCAAATAAACGCTTTGATGCTCATTTGTAAATACAGAACCTTAATTTAAAACTTTCTAACTTTGCTGGTTTATACTGTGCTTGGTTTGGACTGTACTGGCTTGAAAATACTAACTACTGATTTGCATCGAAGCGTTTTTTCAAAAGTGATTTTATCACTTTCAGGTTTAAAAATTCTTGTAAACCCGTGACCTCCCCGTCTCCACTATGCCCCGACCCATTTATGCTCCGTCCCCACTATACTGGTTTTTTTAAGTTATTGTTAATAAAATTAATTTTGATGTATACTTTTTTAATACACAATGTGAATAAAACTGTTATAGAAATATATTCGCCTGCAATTGGGTTAATAAAAAAACTTTTATGAGATATACTTAGGAAAAAATTTTTATTTACCGAATCAGTAAACTTAGGCTATTTTTATTAATTCTTTAAATTCCTTTTTTTATATAGGAATATCTAGAAATCATTGCAATGGAACATACTTAGCCTTAGCTTCCCACTTCGAAAACGACACAAAGTAGCACTACGAAAGTAACGTGAAAATGGCGCTATCTAGTGGTTGCTCTTTTATATTAATATGTATACATATTTATATGTAAGTTTTTAGATATGGATAATTATTATATTATATTAAATATAAAATTTATTACATTAATATTTAGTGCATCAAAAACCTCAATTATTTTATTGTTGTATAAAAACTTATTGCTTACTTATTCACAGACATATTTCATAGAATAAACTAATTGATATACATTGAATGGTACAGATCTATATAATTTTTTACCATTTTTTTAAAATGGGTAACTAAATATTTATCCAAAATAAAATTACCTCATTAGTAAAACTTGCCACACAAAAATATAGACACATGGATGAAAAAATAATAAAATATTTAATATTCATTATGATATTTTTTTAATGCAAAAGTCAAATGAACAGTGACATACGGAGGAATTTTAAACTTTAAATGATTCTCATTCGTTTTAATGTCTGCTGTTGTAGCGATTTCAGTGTAAAACTTAACAAACGCATATGTATTTTGTTTGTTCAATATAGGTTGAAAATTCCTATTGATTTTTAAAATGAATAATCGTGGCTATGGTAGAGCCTATGGCCCCCAAAAAAATACAGTAGTTGTTTTGCCGTTTGTTAAGCCTAAAAAATGGACTTATTACCTATTTACACATCTGTCTTATGGCAACATGTTATTTTTTAGTATTTTGCAAACTAAACATTTTATAGAAAACAAATTTTTTTTTCAAATCACTTTAATGGTAATATTATTATTTTACGTATATGTATTAGGTTTTTCCATATGATTACCCCGGCATACTTACCTAAGTTAGGTAAGCTAAAGTTTGATTTTCATCTCCTGTAGTTAAAAAATATGTTTCTAAAATACCTATATTTCAAAACGAATGAAGCAATATTTTAACATAATATTATTGAACAGTAGCTTGGTATTTTACAGGTGTACTGGTGTTTACTCGGCCTACGAATCTTAAAAACAGTAGTGGTTTTGCCGTTTGACCCAAAAAATGTACTACTTGTTTACACAACCGGTTTATAAGATAATTTTAATGTACAGTGCTGCAACTACCATTTTAGAGGTCCAAATTGGGATTCATTTTTAGATGCGTCTTTTAACATAATGAATAATTTTAAAGATCTTTCGATCAAGTTAATTCGTTTGATTAAGTCATTATTTAAAATTATGTACATAACATACATATTTCTTATAAAAATACATGGCAGGCCACTACCACATATAATTAGTTCTAAACGGCATTTTCTATATAAGAGTATTTGATGGAGAAAAAAAACTAACCAAAATAATAATCTACTAGAAACTTTTCTCTTGACTGGAATAGAGCCAGCTCCCTGAGGTGTAGGCTAAAAAAACCGAGACATTACAAATATATTTAAAATGCATTCTAAATGTATCGGCCAGTAACAGAAAAAAAAGGTTATACTAGAAATATAATTATAAGAAATTAAATGTTTGTATAGACGGATGATTTTTTTTATCATGGGCCACTCAATATCGAACTGAGTTTAATTAATAATTGAATTTTTTTTTCATAGTATTTTTATATAATGTGATCTCAATTTTCCACAAATTATTATGTTTCTACCCCCCTCCCAAACTAATGTTTTTGAAATAACTAAAATAAATTAAATAATATGACACATTTTCAGGTTTTGGAAAAATACTATAATAGTTGTATAGATTATAGAATAGTTTAAAAATACAATTATTACTGGTATTCATTAATACTAGAATTATAAATATTAGCTTCTTCCATGGCTTGATAATTAAAGCATTTAGACACACTATATTTTATCAATTTGTGTAATACCTATTTTTAAAACATGTCAGGAGGTATAATTGTTAATTACATCGATAATGACAAAAAGCGGCATATAAACTTATGCTTTCCAACAAGAAAACTTTATTATCATACACCATATTAGTGAAAGAAAATCCATATCAACCGTACTCATTAAATTAATTTAGGCGTTCAAAAAATTATGTTTATTACAAAGTCATTCCACTTTAAGAAAAAAGTAATTTTTAAATAAATAGTTATTGATATTCGAACATATCCATCACTTGTACAGTTGTACCCAAAAATGGGCAAAATATAAATTATAAATTATAGTTGATTCTAAAATACAACTGTGAGCTGTGATATTTTTGATTACTTGTTTTGGTTTTTGTGGACAATATTACTGTAATTAGTGACTACAACACACAATATAATAACCAGTTCCTACTAATTTTAAATCGCTGTTTGAGGAAATACATATTTCCTAAATTAGTATAGATCTAATATGTAATTTTTTGTTTATTATTTCAAGATATCTAAGAAAAAGTAGTAGTATTACGTTCGTTATTTATAATAAGTTTTAAATGCAAATTTAAAAATCTATTTTTAATTATTGTAACATCAAGGTTCTAAAATTCGAGAGAATAAATGGTATAAACATTTAAATACACAAATGATAGATCGACATTTTTTTTCTTTAATAAAATAACATACTTTATTTGATTGTAAATTTTTAATTTTAATTAAAACGTCTTTTACATTCACCGCATAAAGTACACAGATACATTTCTTTAAGAATTTGTTTACTTGGTTTGTATTATAATCTTTTTTGTTTTAACATAATAAAAATTGTTAGTTTTTACAAAAGAATGTGTACAGTTTTATTGTAGTTTTTTTTAATTGAATGTAAATTGTTATCTGTTTCGATTGAGGAAGTGTAAACAAATGAAAATACGAGCTATTTTTTGTGACAATTTTTGTTTTGATGTTTGTGTTTGAATGTATTGTAGAACGTTATTTTATAATAACTGTAAATGTATTGTATGTAGGCGTGTGGTGGAGTGAGATAAGGCGTTGTATGTATCAACACACAGTCGCTGGTTCGAATCTCGGCCACTGGCGGTTTGTTCTTGCCAGCTATAAGCCAAAAAATGCCAAACTAAAACGTCAAAGCCCCGATCGGTGGAAAAAACGGAAGTCAAACGTAATAGAGAGACATACAGTGAATGTATTGTGATTTTCTAAATCAAAAATGTTTTATAATTTTAGCTTATTACAAGGACTTTTTGTAAAATCATTTATCGTGTTTTTTTTATTAAACCCAATATTGCATATTGTTTTTTTTTTTTATCAAAAGCATGCTGTTTTTCACAACGACTATTGTAATGTAAACAAATGGTAGGTTCTATAGGTCTCATGAACAAAGAATAATATTCCATGAGTATTTAAATTTTACAACAACAGTTTGTATAGTTTTTTAACTTAATTTTTTATCGAAAACAAGTTGTTTTTCTTAACATATTTTTATTTGCAGTTGCTTTTGTATTTAAATGTTTGACCTATATTATTTCTTTTATACAAATTTACAATATTTTCCCAAAATTTTTATGATTTAAAATTGTGCGGTTATTTTTCAACATAAAAATATATTGTTAGCAAAGTTAGCGTGTCGTTGCTAAGTAAATAAATCGCAACACCTCTAAGAATCGTATACTTATAATTTTAAATGACCAAACCGAAGAACATAATTTACATAGTTCACTCTAAAAAAGTAAAAAAAAGGAACAACTTATAACTCTACAATTGGCTACAATTCCTATTAAACACATTATAACACATAAGGACAAAAACCTATAACTACTAAAATCTATTAAACTCAAATTGAGTTTAGGTATTTAAATTTATATTACAGCTGTTATAATGTAACATAAAAATGTTGTTTCGCTCCTAAATTTGTGAATATTTATGCGAAACTTCATTAACTGTCTTCTTGATCGTCAAATACTTGATATGAACAGTCCCATGGAATATCATTTAAACTGTGATATTTTAGCTTCGTTGTTTTGTATATGTAACTACAACATAAAACATAAAATTTAATAATTTATCTAATGCTGCGCATTAGGGTATTGGCATATAGGGTTAGTGGTGCCGGGTGGTTACACATCTTCAAGTGATATCAATTTCAAAATAGCGCTTGTCTAACGGACACAGCTAATCCTCCTGTGCCGCCTAACAGCTGAAGTGTTCTCTACGCCACATAATGCCCTTAATTAATTTTTATTATTTCAATATTACTAAAAAAAAAATGTATTAGTTCGGTTTGTAATTTATAATATATATTAAATATAAATTTTAAAATGCATCTATAATAATTATTCTAACATCAGGGCTTCACAATACGAGATCATAAATAGTTCAAACATATAAATACACAATTGATAAAACAAAATACGTTTAATATTATGTATTCCAGTTTATTTGTATTGTATGTTAAATCACCTTTTACATTTATACTACAAAATCAAAATCAAATTTTCTTGCATTAAATAGATTGCACTGCGTAACCCTATTGTAGCGATGTAAATAAACCACAATATCTTAAAATCAACTTGTTTTCGAAAAAAGCAATAAGAGCTCTAACTTGATGTCGTTAGGAAAAAATAAAACTGTACTATTTGTTGAAAAATACGGTATTGAATGATGTAAGAAAATATATTGTTGACTATTGTGTAAACATAAGATTTAAACAAAAATTATAACGGCAGTTTAATTAATCAATTATTGACGATTAGACATATAAAGGCAATAATAATAATAATTAAACATATGTTATAAGTTGCAATAAATTACTTTTATATTTTTAACGAATTTTGAAGGTAAACTTTTATCTGCATCGAATGAGACAGTGTAAACAAATGAAAATAAGAGCTATTTTTTGTAACAAATTTTGTTTTGAAGCTGTATTTGAATGCATTGTAGAACGTTATTGTTATATTAACTGTGAATGTATTGTGTGCAGGCGCGTAGTAAAGTGAGAGAAGGCGGCAGTGTGTCAACACACGGTCACCGGTTCGAATTTTGGGCACTGGTGGTATGTTCTTAGGCGGGCAATAGTCTAGGGGAAAAATTGCCCCCTGCACCTCTTTCTGTGGCCAACTTGTTTGGTATCGTTTGTTCTTGCCAGCTATAAGCCCAAAAACGCCAAACTAAAACGTCAAAGCCCCGATCGGTGGAAATAACGGAAGTCAAACGTAAGAGAGAGACATACAGTGAATGTATTATGATTTTCTAAATCACAAATGTTTTATAATTTTAGCTTATTACAAGGACTTTTTGTAAAATCATTTATCGTGTTTTTTTTATTAAAACCAATATTGCATATTGTTTTTTTTTTTTTTATCAAAAGCAAGCTGTTTTTCACAACGACTATTGTGATGTAAGCAAATGGTAAAAATTTACCGGTATTACAAATTTGGAATATTATATGAATCTTCGTATTTTACAAAAACCATTGTTTTGGTTTTATAACATATTTTTTTTATCAAAAACTAGTGGTTTTTCTTGATATATTTTGTTTTGCAGTTGTTTTCGTATTTATATGTTTGAACTATTTTATTAGCG